GAAATCGACAAGTTCAAGGAAAACCTTGTACTGTCCTCCCTAAATGGCTCGTTGGTATTTCATGTCAACTTTATTTAAGGTGGGTCTTACCGTAATACCCCGGATATAGGCGCATATGCGCTTATAACGCTTATAATCGAGAAACGGCCATAAGCGCCGGCGCTTATATAATGGGAAAAATGAATGTAGGATTTATATGTACCAAAGTGAAGCCCTTATTAAGGTGAACACAACTGTGTACCGTGCGCGTGGGATCATGTATGAAATCTCGCCGAAAACTTCCGCGCTTCGATTTCCAACCGCACAAAGCCCATCCCGAAGCAATTCACCTGCCAGCGCTGACGTGAATCTTGCCGTGCGGCCCAATCAGGTTGTCATGTGCTGGCAGGCAGCTGCATTTCACCCGAACCATCGAGAAGGTGGTGGAATATGCCCTGCCAACGGAGTAGGTACGAGCCGAGATACCCTCCTCTCCGGGTTCAGGCAAGGGGGTACCCGTCTCTCCCCGAGGAGGACCACGAGCCGCTAACCAGAAGGGGTCTCTTTCACTCTTTCATTTCTTCTCCCATTCTCCCAGTTTCTCGTTCAATTTCTTGCTCTCTCCTGCCTGGCTGCGGAAGCCATGGCGGAATTCTCCGGCACACACCTACTTGAAGGCCCGCGTATACAGTTGACGCTGACAGGTGGTACTCCCGTATCCCACCAGAACCACCAGAGCCACCACAGCCTCATGCGCCTCCTGCACCGCCTGCTCCTCCTGCGCCTCCTGCTCCTCCTGCGCCTCCTGCTCCTCCTGCGCCTCCTTCTCCTCCTGCACCTCCTGCTCCTCCTGCGCCTCCTGCTCCTCCTGTTCCTCTGTCTCCTCCGTGTTCGGTGTCTCCGCAGCACACTGGCAATCAGCCCGTGCTCACACTGCTACTGCTATCGGGGTTTGACGAATACCTCTCCGAGACGGATTCCAACAAGGCCCTAGATGAATACGTCTCCATGGAGTACGCGTCGGCACCACGTTGGGGCCAGCCCAACGATTGCCCCTGGGACGAATCTGCAGTCGGCTGTGAAGACGATGTGGCTGACGCTGAGGAAGCGAGTCGCGCTGACGGCGCTGAGGGTGGGACGGAGGCTACCGCCGAGGGCGGCACCGCTGAGGATGTGTTTCCAGAAGGTGTTACGGGCATGGACGGCGACAACGGCGTGGAGTACTGGTCACGCGATGGGCTACCAGAAAAACTGCCTCTACCATCCTATCCTCCGATTAATCACAAGCGACCCCACCCTTCTTCACAGAACCGTGATGCCCGCTTTTTTCTCCCAGGCACAAGGTCACCAATCACAAGTGTCAGGGTTATACCGCCGCTGAGAAACTGAAGTGGGTGGCGCGGCTTGATGTGGCGGTGTCGGTGCGCGCCTTGGCCCGAGAGAGTGGAATCCACCGCAAGTGCCTCACGAACTGGAAGCGGGCGGCGGAATTTCTCAAAGAGGTTCACTCCGTACAGAAGCGCATGCACGGCCGCGGGAGGGCGTCGCGGTACCTGCCGATGGAGCTGAAGGTGTACGAGAAGCTACTCGACTGGCGCCGTAAGAGAACCGCCGTGTCCGTCGGCCGCTGGCAGGAGTGGTCGCGGGATTTCATGAAGATTCTGTACCCCCACGTGAGTGGAAAGGAAGCAAGAGGTGGTCGGAGCGCTTTCGGCGGCGATGGAATATGAGCGTGCGCATGAAGACATGGGTTGCCCAAAAAACCGCCGCGCGTCCCCGTGTACTTTGACACACATTTTTGCTTCTGTTGGACTAAACCATTCCGTCTGTGTCCGCCCTCTCATCCACCACCGTACAGATGTCGAGGAGCAGTGCAAGAGCTTCTGGCCGCTCGTCCGTAACAAGCGTCGAGAGCGCGGCATCGACACCGCGTGGATCATCAACGCGGACCAGACGCCGCTCTGGCTGGAGATGCCCGCCACAACCACCGTGGAGGAAACTGGTGTTCGGTCGGTGCCCATCAGGAGTGCGGATTACCAGAAGCAGTGAGTGACTGTGATATTGGCGTGCACGGCGGACGGAGTAAAGCTCGAGCCGTGGGTGTTCTTCAAGCGGAAGACCCTGCCGAAGGGTGATTTCCCGGCGGGTAAGTCATGAAGGTTTTGTTGACGTTCTTTGTGGTTTACCTATGTGTGCGAATTCTTACTATCCAACAATGTTTCGTGCAGATGTGGTCGTGGCTTGCCACGAGAACGGGTGGATGGACGTCGAGGGCGTCATTCGCGGGCTTGAGGAGTACGTCAAGCCCTTCTTGAAGCCTCGGTTTGGTAGGCAAGCGAAGAGCTCGATGGTGGTGCTGGATTCTTACCGCGGTCAACTCACCGAGGGGTGAAGGAGAAGCTCCGCGAGATGAACTGCGTGCCGGCAATCATCGCGTCAGGCTGTACGCGGAGGGACAGCCCCTAGACGTCTCCATCAACAAGAGCTTCACGGCTTCTGTCCGCCAGCAGTACCAGAAGTGGTTTGACGCAGAGGGGCAAGAGCAGCTGACGGCAGCAGGTATGGTATCAACAGATTACCGTTGGTTCTACCCATCCTCATCACGTTGTTGTTGCACTAACGGCTTTCCACCGTGCCCCCGTATTGTTTCAGGGAACCTCAAGAAGCCGCCACCCGCCGACCTCATCAAGCGCGCCTTCCTCACCTGTGGCATCAGCAACGCGCTTTATGGCAGCGAGGACGCACTCCCCATGGCGCACAGACGGAGCCAGCTGACCGCGGAAGTGGATGTCGATGATGACATAATCGCCGACGGCTTCTTTGGCAACAACTGCCAGGAGCCCGAGTCTGACGAGGAAGAGTAGCTAGTACTAGGTACATTGCTAGAAAGGCACACGAAATTGCTGGTTAATGTAGATGATTTCGAAGTAGTCGAGATTGTTGGTGCTAGATTTGTAATGAAAGACTAAAAAATATATACCGTAAAATGGTTTAGGGATGCGCTTATAATTAAGTACGAGTACACAAGGGGGTGCGCTTATAATCGAGGAACGGCCATAAGCGCCATGCTCCAGATAGAAGCGCCGGCGCCTTTAATCGGACGGCGCCTATATCCGGGGCCATACGGTATAATGTTTTCACCCCCAAAGGAGGTTATGACCGAACCCCGACAGATGGTTTCCCCCCGAAAGGAGGGCATAACCGAACCCCAAAAAAATGCTCTTTATCTGCGGCAAGTGGTTTATCCAGAGGGTTCACTCCAGGAAACCCGGAACCTGTATATTCCTGGTTTTAACGAAGCAAGCATGGTGAGGAGGTAGGTTGGGAAGGTAGGTGAAGTGACAAAGTGACAGGTGTGGTGTGGGAGCAGGGGGTGATGGTAGAGGTGGTGGTGGGTGAGAAGGGGTCGAGGGGGAGGTTTCAAGGAAGTGACGTCGCGAGAGTAGCGAACCCGGCGGATGAAGGGGATATAAGCTCGATATGCTTTAAACCATCAAAAAGGCCGTCGCCATCGGAGTTCAAGACCTTGAGATGTGTCTTGCAATGGCTTTCGGCTTTAACGAGATAGCGCTGAAATGTGCTAAAGACTTCAGAGCGGGATTTGAGAAGGTAGATGGTGGTAGAGTGGCTATAGTCGCCAATGAATGTCAGGAGATAGGTGGCGCTGCCAAATCTGCTGCCGATGGGAAATGGTCCAGCGACATCAGTGTGCACAAGGTCAAGTGGGGCTGAGCTGGACGAGGTGGAGTCTGGAAAGGGCTGGCGGGTCTGCTTCCCACGAAGGCACGAAATGCAGGTTGAAGGTAGGGAACCATTGAGGCTAAGGCCGCTGACCATCTGTTTTGAATGAAGCTGCTGCAAGCTGTGTCCGTTGAGATGTCCGAAGCGCCGATGCCAAAGAAGAGAAGAAGCGGCATAACATGATGCGGGAACAAGAGGAGGAGGTGCTGATGCAGTTGAAACCGTGGCTGGCCGGGATACTGAGGCAGGGCTGAGAGAAACGAAAAACAGCTTCATGTAGGGTTGAGCAAAAAAACGGTCTGGGCCCGTCGGCGGCCCGCTTTTGGACCGCGCTTTTAGGGGCGGGCCGGGTGCGGCCCGGGTCGGGCCGTTTCGGCCCTTGTCGCGGGGGTCAAAATTGAGCTGCGCAACATTGTGCGCAGACTCAATTTCGACCTAGTCTGTTCCAGCAAATCTCCCTTCCCTTCTCGCCATAGTCTTCGACCTCTCCTAGCTGGATTACGCTTAATATAGAATAGCGCATGAAGCTCTAAGGTACTTCAAACGTTGATGTTGTTTGGCGTGACAATGTCCTAGACATGTTACCATCTCCGAAACATCCCCCAAATCCCTTAAGCTACACTGTAATAGCAACCGGGCCGGACCGGCCCAGCCTGGGTCAGGCCATACACAGCCCGAGGTTTTGCCATCACGGCCCCGGTCGGGCCGGGCCGGCCCGGCCCGTCTTTTTGGGCAGCCCGGCACGGCCCGGCCCATGCTCAACCCTAGCTTCACGTGCTCATGGGCAACAGCAACAACTGTGGAGCCTTGGAACTCTTGGGCAGGAGCATGAAGAGGGAAGAGTGTATTGAGTCCTTCGTTCTTCAGCTTACAAACAGAAATTATATTGTGAACAGTGTGGGGAATGTACAGAACGTCCCGCAGGGTGATGGGATGGGTATGGTTGTCGTGACGTGCGTAGACAAGAATATCCCCAACTCCTTGGGCAGGGTACTGCTCCCTACCACCAAACCGGATGCCACTACCAGGAAACGGTCGATGGAGGGAGGCGAATAGATGAGGATCATTGCAGAGATGCGAGGATGCGCCGGAGTCAAGGAGCCAGGAGGAGGAAGAAGGAGAGCTGGTATGGGCGGAGGCAAGAGGCCGCTGGAGCAGGATGGAGAAAAGGCAGAGGAGAAAGGATAAGAATAGTAGTAGTGATGGCAAGGACGGCAGCCAAGAGGTAGGGAGTAAGAGCGCGGTGGCGAAATCGGCATAGCAATAATCGATCGAAGATG